TTTATTCACTTTATTCTATTTATTACAATTGTCATTTAAATGTTGTGTTATTACAAAATATTTATAAAGACAATTACATAAATGCTTAAAGTAAATAAAAAACTATTTTTCTAAATTCTAATTCTAAATCTTCAATCCAATGTTCTTGTTCGCTCATTTAATTTTACCTGCGAAAATAATTAAAAGAAAGTCAGAATTCGAATAAATAATTAAAATGCAGAAAATAAATTTAATGTTCATCATTAAAATCAAACGGCCGGAATCAGTTATTCTTTTTTGCAAATCACGGGATTTCTCCCGGTTCACAAAAAAGAGAGGAATTTTTAAATGAATGCATAATTAAAAATAGCACATTTTCAAAATCATTTGCATCAAAAGCCTACTGCATATTTCACATATGCATAAATACATTTTTTGGTCAAAACTGCATAAGTACACAGCATACATAATTTCAAAACAAACAATATGCAATTTCAAACAATGTGCAATTTCAGAACTATGCAGTTTTTAAAACAATGTGTGCAAGCAACCTATTTCCTTTTTCATCATATTCCAGCCTGTATGGTTTTTCAGAACAGCAGTACAGATATCACATTTATGTATCATGTATGTACTTGAGGTAGAGAGAAGAAGAGGCTTAATTTTGCAGGTTCTGGCCTAAGCATGAAATGGGAATGAAATCACATGTAGCAGCATATATGCAGCATCAGGAAATATAATTAAATACTCAAAACCTGAGCCATGAAGGGGGGAAGCAACGGCTATTTGCAATCCCTTCAAAAAGGAAGTGAACTGGCATAGTAACACCACCAACACATTACTGCAAAACTAAGCCAAGCAAACACCACATTCCATTTTTTTTCACACCAGAACATCACTGCTACTGCTATCCAATACCATAGTTCATTCTTTGCAAAACCATAAAAAACCTGCATATTGCTATTATTCCCAAACAGAACCAAAACCATCTCTAAGCATTTGCAAACCTGCATACTGCATAAAACTACATAACTTACATATTGCATTCAAACCATTTTCCAAACATAACCGGCATATTACAAAACCTGCATATTGCTAAACCATTCCTAAGCATATTGCGAAACCATTTCCAGCATATTGACCAAAACCATAAAAAACGGTATAATCCAAAACCACCAAAAAACATTTATTCAGTATTTCCAATCAGTTTGTTTAGACGGAGAAGAAAAGAAGAATTAGTGGCAGAAAGCAAAGAGCGAGGAGTTTTCGGAGCTTACCTGACGTCGCCGGAATCGTAACTGTCGGACTAGCTCCGACCATGTGAGTTTTTCTTCAGTTTTTTCGCATAAAGCTTTATACCGTTGCGTTGCCTTTGTCTCACCGAATAATAATCCTCTCTTAATTTCCTGAAATCATGAAAAAGGGCCATTTGATATCATTGCGAATCATATTTTAATATTTTTCAAAACAAAAACCAGAATAATACTAATATTTCCAAAATCAATGTTAATGTTTCACCAAGTTTTTGCACCAACAATAACACAGAGATTGAAACAGTAGAGAATCATCATAACCACAACCATCTAACAAACCAATCTTTGATTCATTCTTTCCATCATCCATATAACGATAACAACAACAATCATCATGCTTTAATCAATAATAGTACTATGTACAAGTCTTGGATGACTCAACTCAGTTTTCTGAAGGGAAAAGTTTCCAATGATGGAAATGGTTGCAGCTTTCAATCTCTTAATTTGACTATGGGTCCAAGTGTTCCAAACGGTGTTAGTGTTGGTGGTGTTGGTGCAATTTCTAATGTTCAGATGAATGAAGATCCTAGGAAAAGGTCTTTGTCAAAATCTAGTTCTGCTAGAGAACCTATCCCTCGCAATCTATTGATACTTTTGGACAAAGAACTTCTCAATACCGTGGTGTTACAAGGCATAGATGGACTGGGAGATATGAAGCACGTTTGTGGGATAATAGTTGCAGAAAAGAAGGACAAACAAAGAAAGGAAGCAAGTACCTCCAACCTCCGTTGTACCCGGCCATCCCTCTTCGACCTCGTTTCAATTCTGCTCAACGCCTCTTTCCAACTTTCCTTCATCATCGTCCCGAATTTTCCTTCCATCTCCTAGTTTTCCCTCTACTCCCTTTGCAACTGCTTTGAAAATAACAACAGTTAAAAGAAGCAGATTTGAAAGTGGAAGAAGAATCGGTAAATCCAAGCGCACACTCCGTCGTACACGGCCATTCCTCTTCAATCTTCACCATCCCTCGCTTAATCACCATTTTTCCTCCACCTATTTCAACAGTCACAGCAATGTTTCAAGTGTGGAAAATCATCAATGCACAGAATTCGTAAAAAACTCATAAGAGGTTTTAAAATCGTAGCAACATTGAAAAGAAATCGAAGCTTACCGTTGAATACTTCTCGACCGCAACTCGCCGCGACTTCCAAGGTCTCCGTTCCAATCTCGCATCCACCTACCTTGCTTCATTTACCTGCAAGTGAAAACAGGAAATAGCAATTCCACTCAATCAAATAAAAGTAAAGAAAAGTTCACGCCTTTCTTTCGACTTGCTTTCGCTCCTACCAAACGAAAAAACAAAACGCATCTTCCTCTCGACTCACTTTCATTTCCTTTCACTTTCTTCTACCTCATCTCAGACGAAATCGTTTTCAAAACCCTAACACAATAAAACTCCCTACAAAAACCGCGTTTGGCATTTATCAGAAACGAGTTGGAGTAGCACAAAACTCTACTCGCCGGAAACGCACCGGAGGTTGCTTCGACCGCCACATCCAGTGACCGAGTCCAGATGTCTCGAGCTGAAGAACTCTGGGAGCGGTTAGTTCGTGCTGCTTTAAGAAAGGAAAGAATTGGAAAATAGTTGGACCTTTAAAGGCTTAACTAGGAGGTTTACAAGAAGAGACGAAGTGGATCGGAACAAGGTGAAAGAGAGATCCGCGGCGGCCATGGCTCAACCTTCTTAGGTTTTTCGTACAAGCTTTGTGTCTCATCTTTTGGGTCTGGGTCTTCCCGACCCGGCCCATTTCCTCCCAACCGCTCCACTTTTCCCTTTACCCAACCCAATTCTCTTCTTACACTTAAGCCCATTGCTAATTGTTATTCATACCCCATTTTCTTTTATTTGGTCTTTAATTAATTATATTCATTTCTTAGTTTAATTAATTAGTTTTAGGAATAACATATATTTTAAATAGACAATTTCAATATTATTTACCCAAATCTCATTAGCTTAAATTTAAGTTTTATTTAATAACTTTAACCTTCCTTGTTTCTAATTCATTTTAAATTCATGGTTTGATTTAATTCAAAAAAATATTTAATATCTCTAAAAAACATATGAAAATGAAGACTAAAAAACATTTTATTTTATTCCCCTCATTTTGTTTAAATATCAATATAATAAAAACATAAAAAATGGAATATATAAAAACTCTAAAAACATTTCTATTAATTCTCGTTACTTTTTATCCATGTTAAAATGCTTAACCAATTAAAACACTTTTTTCTTTTCGCCTATTAAACAAAATCATATAAAAATGCATGTCCACGTTTAATCGTTGTGTATCATTTTCTGTCAATTATTTCATTGTACCTGTTTATTCTGTTTGCACCAATCCAAAGGGAATTGTCTAATTTTTGTTGACTTCATGTCCTCAAAAACGATCGAGCGAATACTCTCATTCATTAAAAACTTAGGTTGATTTTCCTCAAATATTCACCTTTCTTCAAAATTTCAACCTTTTCAAGACTTATACCTTTTAAGCAAAAACTTCGACATTAGGTCGTCGTATCTTCGAAAACCCGTCCGTATCCCTTTTTCAGCCAAAACGATTTATTTTCAATCAAGCGATCAATTTTTAAATAAAACAGATATTTCAAAAGGTTCCTATAGAGTACTATAGATACAGTGGGTGCTAATACCTTCCCATTGTATAACCAACCCCCGAACTCTCGATCTCTTTTCAAAAACGCTTTGTATTTGTATTTTTATTTACATTGCATATTTAGGGTTTTATTTCGCTCTTTTCCCTTTTCCTTTGGAAACAATAAAGCGCGGTGGCGACTCTTGCTTTTGCGAGACGAATTAATCAATAATTCGATCTCCGATTTACCCCGCTACATTTTTTATCGCTACAGCTTCCACAAACGGAATGAATTTTTATCATTAAACCAAGCATCGTTGACTTTAAACAGTCTCGACCCCCAATTAGAATTGTTGCAAACTAATCACACCGGACAATAATCCAATATGTCTCTACCCCTAACTTTTTGCCCCACAACCTCCCATCTGTCTATAAGATATTCAGATAAAAGAAACCTATCAAACCTACTCATAACCAAATTCATCACTGTTATACCACGTAAAAGATTTTTCTTTACAAAGAACATCGATAAGCTGACTATCCACAATAAAATTTGAAAATTACCTCATTTTAATATTCCTACTGGCCAAAGATCTTCCTCCCTTTTCTTTCCTTACTATCGCTCACCGCATTGAAATCTCCAACTAATACCCATTTCCCGTCAATATACTCCGACATTAGATCTAAAAAGGATTTCCACATAAATCTCTTCAAGACCAGAAAATAAACAAAATATATGTTAACCACATAAAATACTTTGTCTCTCCTAAATCAACTTTTATTAGAATAGACATTCCGTCATTGTAAGAACATACTCCCTCCGGTCTCATATGTAAGCAAAAAAAAAAAAATTTGGAGTCTCAAATATAAGCAAAAATTAATTACAATGGTTACAATTAAATATACCATTCCAATTTTACCCAAAAATTTAGTTTTTCAATATTCATGTTTATTCCTATAATAACTCCACTTTTTACACTTCCAAAAGAGCATTTATTCTGAAACGTTGCATTTGTTATCATTGGCTTTTGAAAAGTCATATCCTATTATAAATGGTGCAGTATCATCTTGTACAAAACTCCATGAGTCTTGTTCTTCCTTTTTTTTTTATACTTTAAAAATGGCAAACCCACATCATTTAGCTAATGAGTTTCCATCTTTTGATTTAGGTATCGAAGACAATAAAGTTCCTGAAGCAATTCAAACTCCAACAAATGAAAGTGCAGAAAATATCACTCCAAAGAATGAAAGTGAAAATGCTCTAACTCCAACAAATGAAAACACCATTGTTGAATACTTAGATATGGATGAGTTTGATCTGAACAAATTACCAGCATTGAACTTTGGTGTCAAGAAAGAAGAGGTTAAAGATATGATAAAAATTTACTTAGATTATTTAAACTAGGTGTGTTCTTATTTGGATTTTTATGATGTTTAATGTTTCTTTGTTGTTTCTATTGCACTGTTAAAGAATTGTACTGCTATGTTTCTTTATGATTGTGATGTTTAATGTTTATTTTTCTAATCATCTTCTATTGGTTTTTTGGAGTAATGTCATTGTCTATTTTATTTTTCATTTGTTAAAAAATTCTAACGTGCAGTACCAGTGCCATCAGTAAGGAACTAACATGCATTCTTCATGAAACTAACTAGTAAGTCTAATGTAAACTAACTAGCATTCTTCATATTTTCTTCTTATTGTAATGTACAGTACCAATAATATGAAATAGGTAGTACAACACATAAACTAATAAGTCTAATGTAACTAACTAGCATTCTTCATATTTCCTTCTCCATGTAAATTCCATGATCTAGAACCAACCTCCTGAAAAATGAATAAATCAAATTTGACAAAAATTAGCGTACACTATTTTATTTAAAAATTTATAGAAAATACGATTATATAAACCAACAAGTTCGTACCTTAATTATCATTGTTTAAATATTGAAAAGTATTTTCAACTAACTCTCGGTCACATTTTAGTTGCGTAGGTAGTATGCCTCGATTAAGCAACACTTCTTTCTTCATATGGGGAATTCGGTAATTATTAGATCCTTTAATTTTCATGATTTCAATCATACAAGATTGAAGTGTGAGAAAAATTTTGTCAGATTGTTTGCTAGAAAAATTATCATATGAGTTTTGCACAACTTCAATGAGTTCATCAACTGATTTTGAAACTTCCTTTTGTTGTAATGATTGAATGGCATTGAAAAAACCCAGATCTAAAACATTTAAATCAGGAGATATTTTCGGGAAAAATTGGCGTCTTTCCAATAAAACATGACTAAAAACATGACTTTTCCAATAAAATTTTTATTTTTGCATGTGCGATATGGCTCATCCTCATTTTCAAGAAGGTAGTAGTTAGCTGATTTTTTGGTCATGTAGAACCATTTTTCATCTATGTGGACGATATTATGCATAGACTTAAACTCCGGATCATGAGGAAGACTAGTTTCTTCAAGCATGGACAAGCAAAATCTAAGACGATCTTTCATATTGCTATCTTTCATTTGTGGCTTTAGAGCATTTGAATGCCGACGCAAAGTCCCATCCTTTACAAACTTAAACAATGCTGTTTTGCTAATGCCCAAGGCAAATGCGAGGCTCTGAAGAGTGCTACGTTTAGCTAACGAAATATCCCGCACTTTTTCAATATCTACCGCAACTCTTTTCCGATCACAATTTTTTGTTCTTTTATGAGACGCATCACCTGTTTGAGATACTTGCTTCCAAATTCGATAAATAACATCGATGGATACCGAGTATTTGGATGCCAACCATATAACAGTTCCGGATTTTAGTTTTCCACCACAACTATTCTTTATCAATAATTGAGCAATTATTTTCCGTTGATCATTGTTTAAAAATGATCTTTTTTTCTTAAAAGTTTCAGGTTCATGTTGAACCATTGTGGACACTGCATGAAAAAATTGAAAATAATTAAGAAACAAGTATATGCTGCTACGCTGCTACTGTCTCATGTTTGTTACTACATGTTCTTATTTGGAATAAATTCACTCTCTGCAATTTTATAAAACAGTATTAAAAGTGAAAAAAATTAATTAAGTTGTTCAAAAATTATCTAACATAAAAGTATTAGAGCATATTACCTTCTTCCATGACATGAACTTCATTTGAATATAAAGCATCAACATCAATGTCCTCATTAATATTAAAAAAACCATGTTCAAAATCATTTTCACAATTGAACATATTAGCTTCTTCCATGTATTCTTCATTTGATGAACTACCATGTAGGTCCTTAAAAGACAAGTTAAAATTACTTGAAGAAGGATCATTTAGATTAATGGATGGTGCTATGTTGCATTCCATCATTTCAGGATCAATATATGGAGTGTTTAGATCAATATTAAGAGGCATTTTTATGAGAACCAAAAGATAATGATACAGGAAATATAAAATTTTGGCTATGAAAATGAGAACCAAAAGCTTTAGTATTTATAGAACTCATTATCAAAATGTTAAATTTCTACAGGGCGGGACCATGGAAATTTAGGCGGGTGGAGAATACAGTAAATGGACTAAGAAGTGTTGTTTTTAGGCGGGACAAATTTCTACAGGAAATTTTAATAAGAGTAAGTGGAATATATAACCACTAAATGACTAACCATTAAATGGTATTAATAAAAATTGACTAACCATTAAATGGTTATAATAAAAATATTAATTTATTTCTAAATTAATAAATAAGGGTAAATATGGAAAAAAATGTATATTTTCCATTACTTAAATGAATATATAGCCACTTTCTTAAAGGGTGAGTTTTTTTTTTTTTTTTTGCTTACATATGAGACCGGAGAGAGTATATTTTAATTCATAATTTTTATTTTTTTTCACTTTGAAAATAAAAAATTAGCCATTAAACTTAATAATGAAAAATAAAAATAAATTAAAGTATTTATAGGCTTTGCATTTTTTTTATAATACCATTGATTATTTATTATCTTATTTCACAGATTCATCTCTATATATGTATTATGTAATAATGATAAATTTTAATAAAACAATAATTAATAAATTTCAAACTTTGAAAATGGAACATTAAAAAAATTATTTAAAAAGAATAGAGGTAGTAATTAAATATTTTAAAAAATAAAAAGTAATACTAGAAAGGCCTTTTATTGTTTCATTAATATATTGTATTTATTTATAATAATTTAATTATCTTAATACTTAAATATAAATATCTTGATTACATGATAAAAAAAGTTTACTATTGTTTGCATTAAAAAGTAAGATTAATAGTTATGCATTGTCAATGTAAAAAGTTTTATATCATTAATACATCACAATCATCTATAAATATTATTTTATTAATAATTAAAATAAAAGTTAAATTTAATTTAAAATCTAATAATTATCATTTATTGACGGTATAAATTTTCTTTATGATAGTGTATTTCAATTAAATTTTTAAAAAAATTTAATTTAAAATAAAATAACATTTTTATAAATATTGTAAAACTTTCCGTAATAATAGTAATAATTATTGGTAAAACATGTCAACTAAAAAAAAAATTCTTACATAAATACATCTCATAAGGACCATTTGAGAAAATAAAATTTCTCTAAATATTATTTTGTAGAATGTATCATCCATCTGTTAATACTTTTAATTTATTTTAAAAAGTTAATATTAAAAATGCCTCTAGGATCTTCAAAACTATAAAAATAATTCTATTTTTATTAAATATACTAATAAAGTGACTGAGGTAGCCCACTAATAGATTTAATTGAGTTAAATGAATATAAATTATTGATTTATGGTTCAATACTTGATGACATTATTTATTTATATTTATGGATTGTTGTAATAATTAGTTAATATTTATAAATTATAATTTTTTAAATTAAATTGTTTAGTGAAAAAAATTACATATTTTGAATATATTGATCCATCTATCAAATATTTCTGCAAATATCAATTGAATCATATTTATAAATGCAAATGTGGATGAAGTTGATAAACTGAATACTATTTTTTATATATTTTTATATAATATATTATAAACTAATATTTTTTTTCTAAATTTTCTATAAAATATATATAATATAAAATAATACAAAAATTATATCTAGAATAAAATGAAGAAAGAACTAAAAAAACAATAACTTTGAATTATAATTTTTAGTAAAAAATAATTATTATCAATGACAGTTTTTTATGATCTGTAAATTAAACAATTAGAAAATAAAATACTTTTTACAATCCAAAGTTCTAGATCTTTCTTTTTGGAAACATTCTAGATCCCTTTCACATACACAGAATTCATTCTTCAGTTCATAATTCTAAAATTATTAATTTCATTGACATTATAACTAAATGTCGAGTCAATCTATTTCCTCACTTAGGCATTGTTAGGATTAAAGGAGTATACGAGGAAAAAAAATTATTAAAAAAAAAGTTTTTGGATCTGTGTGCCATCTACAGTTTAGAACCTCTGTTAGAGAAGAGAGAAAGATAAACCAAGGTAAATTTCCCAGCACAAAATATTTCAGTCCACAAATATGAGAAGAAAATTGACAAAGAATGTGTGATATATGAAAAACACAAAATTACTCCTTTAGATAAATCATGCATATAATTTTTTATTCTTTTTAAATCATTTTAATTTATTTTTATGTTTTAACTTCATTCAATTTTTTGTGTAACAAAAAAATTTCATTCAATTTTTTTTCATTCGGTTATTTACTTGCATTATATTATTATAAATAAATCTAAATATATAAATGTATTAATATATTACAATTTATATGTGTATCATATAAAATATTAATAATTATGGGGATATTTTTGACATTTAAGAAATATATATTTTTTCTTGTTTTTACTTTCCATTCACTTTCACTCATACAAAACAATTAAAAACTCATATCACTTTCCTTTCACTTTTTATTTACTTTCATTCTTTCAACAATCATTCATCTTACTTTCTTTCCTTTAATTTTCTCTTGACGGGAGGAGAGGAAATATTTAATATTTATTGAAATAAAGGATTTAAGAAAGATAATTTTGTGAAAACAAAAAGAAGAAGAAGAAGAAGAAGAAGAAGAGAGAGAAAATATTGTGAGTTAGTTAAGTGTAACTAACTATCTAACTGAATGTATTATTGTTGCTCTATGATTACAATCATAAGGGCCCTTTATATAGGCAAAAGTGCTCAGACCCAAATACATGCTAAAAGCCCAAATAACTACATAACAGGAATTAACCAACTAACATACCCCCTAATTCATGTTATCAAGACTTCTCATCTCGATGTGTTTCTTTAACTCTTCGAACCTCATTTTCTTCAGAGGTTTGGTGAATATGTCAACTAGTTGTACTTCTGTCTTGCAATATTTTATTTCAAGCTTCCCTTTGTTGACTTGATCCC